GTCGCCTCATGCAGCGCCTTGAGCAGGGGCGACCAGTTGGTGACCGTGCTTATGGCTGCGCGCATGCGAGAGGCCAAGCTGAGGACTTGCATGCTGGCAGGCCGCAGCGTCGACCAGCTCCCGATTCCCGGGAGTCCAGCGAGCGAGATCGACTGCGGTGGGAAGTGCCAGATCTTGTGCCAAGCCCAAGCCTCACGCCTGGACAGGGCGCGGGGCAGCGGCAACAGCTGCATAAGGTAGCTGAGGACCGTGGGCACGCGCGAATTGTAGATCACAGTCGTGATGTGCACCGGCGCTCCCTCACGAGCGAGGTCGCGGATGCGATGGATCCATTTGGCGCCAGCCTCCTGCCACACGTCATCGATCGTGGCTCCAGGGCCCAGGATATAGCCTAGGTACTTGGCGAAAGGAACAAACTCCATCTGCTCCCAGCCAGGCAACTCCAGGGCGAGCCACTCCTTGATGTTAATGGCCAGCTCCACGGAGAATGCGGCACTCAAGGGCGCGACCTTGCACTTGGCCAGCTTCAGGGCTAGACCTGCCAATGCGCGTGCCGCAGTGAAGACCCTGCGCAGGCGGAGAAGAAGCCTGCGATCCTGCAGGGCCGTGCCGACATCGTCCGCGCAGACGCCCACCGCGGAAGACTCCCACTGCTCGAGGATGTACTCCATGTGGGCCACGAAGGGGTTCATGGCTACAGCCCACAGGGACCCTGAGAGCGGGCAGCCCTGAGCGATGCCCGCCGTGACTAGCATGAAGCGGCGCAGCTCGCCCTCCATGGATACGAAGGCCTGCGGCAGCCAGCACGTGCCCATGATGAGCTGGTAGAGGCCGCCCTGGAAGCCAGCCCGCAGCAGCACTGCGCGCAGGAAAGAAACGGCGAGGGAAGGGAAAGCGTTCCCAAAGTCAAAGAGGACCATCAACGGCATGCGCTGGTCCACTGGTCCCTGGTTGAGGAGAAGCCCACGCAACGGGCGGCAGTGTCGAGCAAGGTGATGTTGTCCAGGAAGTTGCGCCCAGGTAGGAACCCCCTCTGCGAGGAGGGGGAGTGGCGCTCGATGTCGAACTTGATGAGGTAATTCGCACTGGCGGCCAGCAGCTTCGCATCCGTGTTCTTGAGGGCCAGAGGTCTTGTCGTGGATGGCGTGCGAGTCGGGCCCGATGCCAGATCGTCAGCCTCGGCACCTTTGGGCAGGAAAACCATCAGGTGGTCGTTGAGGTCAGGCGGCGGTGGGAATCCCTGCGCGACCTCGAGCCCCACCTGCGCCAGGTCTTCCAGAGGACGCGATGACCCACAGCAGCTCCAAGCATCATATGGCAGTCCGTCTGGGCCAGGGGCTGAGGCGCGAGCCCTACGTGCCGCTCGCTGAAGATCGCGAGAGTCTGGTAGACGAATGTCCTCGAGGCCGTCGATCACCACGGGATGCTCGTCCAGATAGCGCTGCACAAGGGGGTGTTCGGGCAGATCACGTTGGAATATCGGCGACCAGTGCTTGCGTAACTCTTCGAACACGTCAGCTTGAGCACTCACGATTCTTTCCTCTCCCTGTCCCAGGTCATGTGGGCCACCAGAGTCAGGGGGGCGCAGTCCCTGAAGTTTGAGAGTGCGCTTGAATGGGGCCCAGAGTGCAGCCCTCCGTCTGGTGGCCCGACTCATGGCGATGATGTGCTTGAACGATGCGCCGTCAGGAGGAGCCGCCTGGGCCCGACGATCGAGATCAGCGAGTCGGCGTTCAGAGAAGATGTTCTGCTCAGCCGCGAAAGCCACTGCAAAGTCCGATGGGTTCGAGAGGGAGAACCGAGTTGCTGGTGATCAAGAGGTGCTCGGCAGCGAGCGGCGACGATGTGACCAGGCGCTCCGCCAGCTTGAGATCGCCCCTCCGGGCCGCTCTGGCGATCGAGCGGAAGACGAGCAACTTTGAGTCGTTGTCATGAGCTCCGTGCTTGAAGACACTGTCCCGCACCCGACGAGCAGCTTCACGCATGAGTCGCTTATGCTCAAGTCTCCGCTGATAAGGATGAAGAACATGCCAGTGAACATGAGTGGCTAAGAGCCGATACTGCCTCGCATACTCGGGACTCTTGAAGATGCAACGTGGGATCGGTTGCGTCTCGCTGTGCACCGGCGGCCGGCCAGCAAAGGTAACCACAATAGGCGCATGATCACTAGGACCAGTCTCATGAAGCCGTTCAGGGAGGTCACGCGTTGAGAGCGCGACGTGCCGCTGTATCGCCAGCCACGAAGCAGAGGCTAAGAACGCTCTGTCAATCTGCGACAGCTTCGGCGGCGAACCTTCCTCTCGCCAGAAGTGCGTGGGGAGCTCATTGTCAAGCTCGACGAAGTCAGAGAAGATATCATTCCAGCGGCGCTCCAGTGGCCAAAGCACAGCATCGTCCAAGCGCGCGAGGCCCCTGTTGATGAGGGGGGTCTGAACCAGCAGGGGCGGCGCCACCATGAGGTTGAAGTCGCCGAGCAGCAGCAGCGTGACCATCTTCGGCTCCGACTGGGCCATGGCCATGTCTGGACGAATACGACCTTCGATCTTAGTCATCTCGTCGCCACTGATGCCGAAGTTGTGGACGCTATAGATAATGGGCGATGGAGAAAGGGAGTCGGATGCAAGGCCTGAAACACTGAGTCGCTGAACTCGGCCAGTGACAAGAATCTCATGAGAGTATCTGGGAGCATCAGTAGCTGCGAAGCGCCCAGGAAGAAGAATGACAGTTCCACCAGTGTCACGCCTGTCGCCGAAGTTCATGAAGACCTGAGCGTGGACATGATGTCGGTGAAGTTCTTGCATACATTCAATGGCATTACCGTGCGCCTCCTGAATGCACATCGCTGTGCCCTGTCCGAGGTAAGACAGCAGATGACGAAACTTGCCGTCCCTCGTGGTGGCACCATGATGCACGAGCGCACGCGCATTCCATGACCCAATCGCTGCGCACTCGCGAAACTCGCCAGGATCTCGCCAGGGAGCGAAACGGGTGCTAAATAGCCCACTGGATCTTCTCGGTGGAGCCGAAGACTTCGTCGAATGACTGCTTGATGGCGTCGCGAGGGAGGTTGCGAGCATGCACAGCACGATAGTTCCACTCAAGGATAGTCGGGTCCTCTGCTGTTTCGCCCACGACCAGCTTGATGACGGGCTGCGAGCCGTCGGCGATGGCTCCAGCATGACGGTTGGCACGCCAGCGCCCTTCCACTCCAGCGTCTCGCACGAGCTCGAGGAGACGCTTCGTCTGGATCTCGCGGCGGATGGCCTGGGGAGATTTGTCCAGGCCGACGAAGATGGGCACCTGAGTGCCTCCCTCGATAGAGGCCGCTGTGAAGCGGCGCCATGAGCCATCCTTCTTGAGCTTCTGGAAGGCCGAGATGACACGGCGAGCAGCCAATCCCTCAGCGCCTCGCATGCGGAGAATATGGCGGCGGCCAGGGGATGCCCCCTCAAGCGACCAGTGCTGATCCTCGATGTCGGTGTCCGCCAGCCAGGGACGCACACTTGCGAGGACCGCCTCCGAGGTGACCGCTTCCTTGGCCGTGATGACGAAGATGGACTTGTCGGGCTCCCTGCACCAGTCCGCCACGCCCCCGAGGTGCTGGGCAGGTGCTGCCGCCTCGCACGCCGTGACCACCTTCTCCAGCCTCGCCAGGGCCTCGCGCATCTCCTGCTGGTCTCTCTGGATGCGCGACGCGCCGCGGTCGAGATCCTGCAGGGGCTGGTCGATCTGCGCATTCTTGGCGGCCTGGCGCTCGCCGAAGACGCGGAGGGCGGCCGTGGTGGTCGCGGCGATGTTGGCGGACATCTTGTTGTTGGTATCGGATACGTAACCGACGATAGAGTCGCGCATGGCACCAAGGATTTCCTCCAGCTCCGAGTGCAGGACAGGCCCGTCCACCCCCGCAGCAGGAGCAACAGCAGGCCGAGGAGAACCAGGAGCGCGGTGAGGGTGAGCTCTGTCACGGCCGCTGCTACGTGGTGTCCTGGGGGTCGCAGGCGGAGTGGCAGCGATCGCCGTGGCCGTACCTTGGCACTCGTTCCCACGGGCACGCCACGGGTCAGCATTGGCGGACTGGAAGGGGTCGTCTGTGCCTGCGCTGCGACTGCGGTCATCGCCCTCACGTGGGCTGCCGCGCCTGCGTTGCCCAGTGCCAGCACCACCAGAAGCTTTGCCAGCCTTGCCAGGCCGCCGAAACAGAGAGGCAGCGCCATCGGGCATCCCACCCGCAGGAGAGAAACGGACTGGGAACGTGGGCGGCGGAAGCTGGGGCCCAGATGGGCAGCACGAGTCTCAATTGGTGAGAGAGTCTTAGGCCTCAAAGCGCGAACCCCCTCGCGCTCATCAGTCGCCGACCGAGGCCGACTCGCGGTCGTCGGGCGGTTCATAGCCTTGAGCCAAAATGGATACGGATGTATGTATGTATGTATGTATGTATGTATGTATGTATGTATGTATGTATGTATGCATGTGTATACATATACATATACATATACATATACATATACATATACATATACATATACATATACATATACACACACACATCTCTCTCTATGTATGTATGTATATATATAAATCTGAAGACATCTATTGCCCCTTTGATGCTGTTCCAACCTACTTTAGCCTCGATCATTTCAACGACCGGTGGGTAAACATAAACTTGTGCTCCGCGCGGTTTCTGGGATCCGCGCTGGGCCCCCCTCCCTGGCGCGGGGAGCGCGCCAAGGGCGGCGACGGAGGCGCTGCCAGGCTGCTCCCAGCGCAGGTCCGAGAAATCCGCGCGGAGCGCCACAAAAGTATGTTCATGTGTGCTTCTCTTCTTTGATCCTTCCCCGGGGCCTGTTTTTCATCCTGAAAATTCTTTTTTGACGTTCCTGGGGCCCGGCGAGGGCCCCCAGAGGCCAAAACTAGCTAGCGAAGAGCCTCCCGTCGTGATTGTGGGCCCGACGCGAGGGGCCCGGGCCCTCCCCCCCCCCGAGGTGGCGCGGCCGGGGAGCCGGGCCAGCGTGCCCCTCGAGCGTCGTCACCGCCTCCCCCGTCCTCGAGTTCCACCGCCTGCCAGGGAGCTCGGCGGCGCGCCCCCCGGGGGGTGGGGGGGGCACGGGGGCAGGAGCAGAGCCTGCTCAAGAGAGGGCGGCAGGAGTTCGCAGAGTAGGGAGGGAGGGAGGGAGGAAAGGGGATGGAGGAAGGAGGGAGAGAGGGAGGAGGAGGAGGAGGAGGAAGGAGGAGGAGGAGGAGGAGAGGAGAGGAGGAGGAGGGAGGAGGAAGGAGGAGGAGGAGGAGGAGGATTTTTTTTAGGATCGACCCATGAACAGCCACATGACTCCGCTGGCGTGGCGAGTGCCAGCGAGAAAAAGACGGACGCGCCACGGTCGGGGCCGTGCCCCCGTGGCGCGACCTAAGCGCGACCAGGGAGCGCAGGAGACCGTGCTCCGCGCTCCCTGGTCGGGGTAGGGGGCGCAGGAGCACGTGCTCCGCGCCAACCCTACCCACCACCCACTCCATGGGTGGCCGCGTATCGGACCCCGGGACCCCGACACGACACGACACGACACGACAGGGGGACGAAACGAACGACGCGACACGAACGACACGACACGAACGAGCGACACGACAGGGACGGGCCGCCGACCCCGCCCCAGGGCGGCAAGTGCTGGGGGGGAACCCAGCACCGCCCTGGGGAAGCACACGGGGCCTGGCGACCCCCCCGGGGGAAGGAAACCGCGCTTTGGCGGCGTCCCCCGGGGTGCGGGGGCTTTTCGCCCCTCGGGCCCGGCGCTCCCCGCCTGCGCCAGGGGGACCCTAGGGTCCCGACCCCTCCCCTACGGGAGGGGCCCCCTCGGGGCAGGAGGAGGAGGAGGAGGAGGAGGAGGAGGAGGAGGAGGAGGAGGAGGAGGAGGAGGAGGAGGAGGAGGGAGGAAGAGGGAGGAGGGGGAGGAGGAGGAGGAGGAGGAGGAGGAGGAGGAGGAGGAGGAGGAGGAGGGAGGAGGAGAGAGGAGGAGGAGGAGGAGGAGGAGGAGGGAGGAAGGAGGGAGGAGGAGGAGGAGGAGGAGGAGGAGGAGGGGATGGAGGAGGGAGATGGAGGAGGAGGATGGAGGAGGAGGAGGGAGGAGGGGGTGGACGAGGGGGAGGAGGGGGAGGAGGAGGAGGAGGATGGAGGGGGGAGGAGGAGGAGGAGGAGGAGGAGAGGAGGAGGAGGAGGAGGAGGAGGAGAGGAGGAGGAGGGGAGGAGGAGGAGGAGGAGGAGGGGGAGGACGAGGGGGAGGAGGGGGAGAAGGAGGGTGAAAGGAATAGGGGGAAAGAAGGAGGGCATTCTCAAGGAAGCCAGCGGCACTTCGCAGAGGCCCTCGGGCCTTCGGAACAGCTGTATGCGTCCTCGGGGAGGGCTCATAGGGCTCTTCTCGGAAGGCAGAGGGGACTTCCGAGCTTCCTGCGCAGGCCTTCTCCTTCTCACTCCCCCCCCCCCAGGCTCACCGCCGAAGGGCGGCAAGAGGAGCGGGGAGGAGAACAGGATGGCGTGGGGGAGCGGGTTCCGGCAGGTGACGGGTCCAAGTCCCCGCCCCCCCCACCTCCCCCGAGGTTCCCCCCCCCCCTGCGGGGCCAGAGCCTGGACTTGTGTTGGACGGTCCCGGGGCTCCCGGGAGGGCCCCGTGGGCCCGAGGACGGGGAGACCTGACACTGCCACGGGCCCTGACCTCGAAGTGCAGATGCGCGATCAAACACCGCTCTTACGCGAGATGGCATATGGCGACCTTACCCGGTGAGTCACGCGGGCCGCCAGCGCGACGCGCCATAATGGAGACGAGGGCGCTCACGCGCGACCTTACGCGGGCAGCTTGCGCGCCAATGTCGGCGAAGACGACACCGTCTTTTTTACGTCGCTCAGGTGGGGTGATCTGTGAGAGCGGACGGGGCCAGGGAGGATCTGCCTCCTGGGGGCCGGATGTGACGACGGGGAAGCGCCCCGACGAAGAAAGAGTTGGCGTGGCCTCGTGCGCCCGAAGACGGAGAAAGAACATCGGGGCCCGCTTCCCCCGCAGGGTCCGCCTGCTTCATCGGGAATGAGGCGGGGAGGTGCGTAAGCTCGCGCCCAAGACAGGCACACCGCAGGAACTCTCGAAGGCGGCGGCAGACTTGAGGCCATTGCTCCTCTTTCTCTTCTTCTCCCTCCTCCTGCTCCCCCTCCTCCTCCTCCTCCTCCTCCTCCTCCTCCTCCTCCTCCTCCTCCTCCCTGGTATTCTCCCCTCCCCCCTCCTCGTCCTCCTCGCCTTCGACCTTGTCGTCGTCGCCCTCCTCCTCCTCCTGCTTTTTGTTATTCTTCTTCTTCTTCTTCTTATCATTAGTATTATTATTATTAATAATAATCTTAATAAGATTCTTCTTCTGACGCTGACACTGACGCTGTGGGCATGAAGGACGATGATGGGTAGCATTGGACCCCGAACCCCTACATGTGGCATTCCGGCAGACCGACGACTCTGCTGCCAACGCCAGCGACCATATGCAAAGAGACGCTGGCAGTGCTCGCCCAGTCGCCCCTGGCAAAGCTAACAGGCCATCGCAGCTGACTTCACAGGAGTGTTGAACGATAGTTGCCGCGTGAAGTCCTGGGGGCTCTTCCCCTTGCTGCGTTTGCCCCTGCTGTTTTGTGGCTGGGCTCACGTGCGTGGCCCCGCCGAAGCGGCGGCCCTTGGTGGCGCAATGGCTACGATTAGGTCGGGCATGTCCTCCTACAGGCGGATTCCCGAGGACAGTTTCAAAAGATAGCCAGAACATCTTCAAACAATTTCAAAAAAAAGAAGCTAGAAACGTGGTCGTGGGACTATTGTTTGACTATTTTTGAATTTTTCCCTCCTGTGGAGGGACATGCCCGACTTGAGGCTACGACCCGCAACGTGTCTTTGACCCATCCTAGAATTGAGCATCGTCTATCCGACCCCTATGCCCAGCGGCGTGGCCCGGGCCCCACTGGCCGATCTACCCTCCCCGGATGGGGATCTGGCCCGTTCCCTTCGGGTTTCGAGGGGTGCATCCCCAACTGGGGTGGTAATTTGTCGGCCACACGCAAGAGTGACCCTGGGTAAGAGTGACCTTTGCCGCGCGGCTCTTTGGGGGCCGCGGGGAGACCAAACACGGGCGCGCAAGCCGCTGCTACCGCTTCGTTTTCAGCCATATGAGCGCCCACCTGTGCCCGCAAGAAAGGTCACTCCGGCGAACGGTCACTCCTACGTCTAGTCGAATTTGGTGGGGGTCTCGAAAGGGACTGGGGGATGGGGATGGGGGCCGGCTGCACGACACGGAAGCATACCTGGGCCTCCAGGCCGCGAGCCGCCACGCAGCTCGACGCCGCCCCCTGGGCGGCCCCGGTGTAGTTGCCGACGCTGCGCAGGCTGACCATCGGCGACGGGGTGCAGCATCGGGCCCGACACGCCCTGGGTTACCCCCGAGACTGGCACGCGAGATTCCCTGCGGCACCCCCCTTTCCAAACTGCGTGTAGAGATCTGCCACACATGAGCGGTTTCGTCGGTCTGGCCGGAGTCATCCCACGAGAAATGACCCACGGCACCCCCGCAGCAACATTGCTCGTTTTGGCGGCGCGTTTTTTTGTAGCCGCGCCCCCAAGAATATAGTTCCTGAGAGATGGCCCCTGAGCCTCCACCAGGGAGGCCAACTACCATCGCGTGACTATCGCGCTCGTGCCCCGACAACTTTCGAGGAGCCTCGCGGGTCCCAGCACAAACCCGCATGGCCCCACACGGCCGCTGGAGCAACCTGGGATTCTCAGGATCCTCCCGTTTGGCCGAAAACGCCTCCCCGGAACCCGAATTCGGGGGCGAGCGAGGCCTCTCAGGAGGCCCAGGTCGCCCCCCCTCGGGAGGTCCAAGAGGCCTGCCGGGATGACCGAAAGCCCTCGCAGGAAGCTTGAGGGCCCTCGGGGGGCTTCTCAGGAAGCCCAGGAGGCATCTCAGGAGTTGATAGGCTCTCACCAGTCCTCAGGAAGCCAAAAAAGCACTTCGGGGGGGACCTGGGGGACCCTCGGGAACCCCACATGGGCCTCCTAAAAACCAAACCTGTGCAATCGTATAACATCCCAAAGCGCATCTTACATTGTTGGGTAAGGGCTCCTACTTTCGCGAAAGTCTCGCAACCCTACCCTATCCAACAACAACATCTGTACATACATATATGTGTAGATGTAGATGTAGATGTAGTATATATATACATACATACACATATATATATATATATACACATATATATATGGGCGGAGATGAAACCACACGTGTTTGTATATCACTTTCCAACCTGGCCCAGAAGTCTCACAAGGGTCCCCCTGAAGCCCGGAAGACCATTCACGAAACCTGAGGGTGCACGGTTTCCCCCGGGGCCACAGGCGACTCGAGGAGGAGGAGGAGGAGGAGGAGGAGGAGGGAGGAGGAGGAGGGAGGAGGAGGAGGAGGAGGAGGAGGGGAGGAGGAGGAGGAGGAGGGAGGAGGGAGGAGGGAGGGGAGGAGGGGAGGAAGGTGGAGGAGGGGAGGAGGGGGAGGAGGGAGGAGGGAGGAGGGGGAGGGAGGAGGGAGGAGGGAGGAGGGGGAGGGATGGGGAGGAGGAGGGGTGAGGGAGGAGGAGGAGGAGGAGGGGAGGAGGAGGAGGAGGAGTGAGGAGAGGAGGAGGAGGAGGAGGAGGGCGGAGGAGGAGGAGGAGGAGGAGGAGGACGGGCCGTCTCAGCCCTTTGGAGAAACCCGCCAGCCTGAAGGGCTTGTCTGGAGACCCGCGGAGACTCGCAGGAAGCCCAGGATCCCCGGCAGCAGGCCCAGGAGGCCTTCTGAGGGCGCCCAAGAGGCACCCTCGGCGAGCCCAATAAGCTCATCGGGGGGGGGGGCACTTCTCAGGAGGCTCTGGTGAACCTCAGGGAGCCGAGGACCCCCCTGAGGCTCAAGACACCCGCGGGGGCTCCGGGGAGCCACAGTGACCCTTCGGAAAGCCAAACAAGGCCCCTCGGGAAGCCAGGCAGCCTTCTCAGGAAGCAGAAGAAGACTCTCAACCAGCCCAA